GGAGGGGGGCTTTGGACAGGAATTATGGATTCAATATCAAGTGTTGTCTTTGATATAGGAGAGGATAACACACAATATAACATATGTGCTTTCTTTTGATTAAAATAAGAAAGGACTTTGTTTTCCTCAATTGCAAATAACTAGAGGAAAATAATTAATAGATTCCAGAAAAAGAAAAAAAGATAAATATATAAATTGACTTTGATTTGACTTCTGTTTTTCTGGGTCAATGACTTTGTTTTGACTTTTAGTTGCTCCTCTTGTGTATGCATGCAGCATTGTTTTTGTTGGAAAAACGTGGTAACCATTTGGATTATTTCTTTATTTTATTCAACAAGAAAAACCCCTCTGGAAATTTAGCATGAAAGTCATGGTTTTTCTTTTTCATTTTTCCTTTTTCGTGTATAAATTCTTCATGCAGAAAATGCCAAAAGTAATCAAAATAGATGCTTAACATAGCCAACCTTATTTTGCATTTCTAACAAGCCAAGAATAAGAAATTTAAGAATTCTTTCATAGGGTACTTGTTTTCGACCATCAAATTTTTATTATTTTAGTGTGATATTAATTAAATCCAACATTTAAAAAAATCACCTAAGAAAATTATGTTAATTTCTCTTTTTCGGGGGTAGGAAACTCAAATTCAGCCAAGTGTAGTGGTTATCAAGAATCAGAATCACCTTTTAATTTATTGTTTTGACAAAACAAATTATTAACCTAACAAGCCAAACTATACGTATATATGAAGCCCTGCTACTTGTACAGGTCTGCATAAAGATTCTTTTGTGATACTAGACTTTTCAATGGGACAAAGGTACAAATTAAACATGAATAACTCCTCTAAGATCAAACTCCCTAGAGAAATTCCATCACAGCTTTTGCTGGAGCACGTGTTTTCAAGATCATTTCTTCGTATTCGTCTTCGGGATTCGACAGAGCAACAATGGCCCCTCCCGCACCTATCGAAGCTTCACCCTCATGAATCACAATGGTTCTAATCACAATGTTCAGGTCAAATGTCTGGTTATACGAAAAGAACCCGATAGAGCCCGAGTAGATACCTCGGGAGCTGCTCTCTAGAGAATCAAGAAGCTCCATTGATCTCAACTTCGGTGCACCTGTCATTGAACCACCTGGAAATGCTGCTCTTACACAATCGACTGCAGTTATGTCTTCCCACTTTTTTCCACGAATCGTGCTGACCATGGTATGCACTGTCGCATATGATTCCACATCCATAAGACGGGACACGTGGACAGAACCGGGCTCGCAAACTCGCCCAAGGTCGTTTCTTAGAAGATCAACAATCATCAAATTTTCGGCTTGGTCCTTTTCACTGTTAAGAGAAAGGGAATACTATTAGTTCAGAGGCAATAAATTAGAATCTATCAGAGACCTGAACATTTGCGTATTCTTGTTAGTCCTTTATGCAAGTAAATTAAGGCTAAAAAAAAGGCTCGTATTCTGAAAAAGATTCCTTTTCCCTTTGCCAAATGAAATGAAGGAAAATCATAATCAATTGACCGAACAATACTGGCAAACAGATTCCTGTGCTATTGAACAAGAGATCATACTACCTGTATTGCAACTGCTGTCTGCACCGTTCATCTTCCTCTTGTGTCGCACCACGAGCTATGGTGCCCTTAATGGGTTTCGCTTCCAATATGCCGTTCCTGTCCAATCTTAGGAATCTCTCCGGTGAAGAACAGCAGATGGATAGGTTTTCCCTTGAAAAATTAAGCCAGGCAGCATATGGGGCCGGGTTTATTTCTCTCAGGTGAAGGTATAGTCCTAGTGAATCTATGTCTCCAATTCTCTTTCTGAGTTGAGTAGTTAGACACAATTCGTAGCTCTCTCCATCTTTAATGTAATCCAGACACTTCTCAATATCTGTTACATAGTCCTCTCTGGACTTATCACAAACAAAACCTTCCTTAGATGTAGATTTTCTTAGAGCCCATAGAGTTTGTTCCTCTCTGCCTCTTTTAACAGAAGCTTCAACTTTCACAAGTTTCTGTTCCATTTCCTCCAACCATGACGGAGTTGTGCTTCCCTCATGTAAACACATTGCGTAAACATCGCCATTGCAGTGATCAATAGCTATGAGGTTATCGGCGAAGAAAAAACAAGCATCTGGAGTTCTGGATTTGTGGCGATTTGATACCATGCCACATTCAACTTTGAGGTTATACCTGCATCACAAAACTAATGGACATAAAGACCTATATTATAAAACGGAATGACGATGGAAGAAACCAAAAAAATATCAAAATCCTAAATGCCTGGAGAGAGAGAGAGAGAGAGAGAGAGAGAGGGAGAGAGAACAATTGGTCTACGTCTCTAAGAAGCCATGATATCATCATCAAGACCCTTAATAGGATAAAATTTGCGAAATTATAACACTTTTAGCTTGAGAAAAATACTAAAGTCCCATGAAGACTCCTTTATTCACTCTCCGTTTAGTTAAGTGAAAGCTAGGTACAAATCAGCATTTCAAAGGCATGAATAAGATGGAGCTAATTACACAATGCCTGGATTTAAAGATGGAAACCTGCTTCCCGACTAGTAACAATATAAGATAAACACGATCATCGTCAAGTTTCAGTTTCTGACATTACAGGGACATAATACGAAAACGAAAGAAGAAACTTACATTGGTAAAACAGCATTTAACCATTTAGGAAGCTTCAAACTAGGCAAGAAAAAAAAAATGCCCCAAAGAAAAATAAAGCTCACACACAAACACATGGGATGAGTTTAAAAAGAAATTACAATTTACTGCTTGATTAAAAATATTAGTTCTTACCCTGTTAAATAACGGACATGACACGTGAAACAAGCAAGATAATCTAACATAAACATAGTTCTCTCGTCATTAATTTAAAGACTTAACTGCATACCCCATGTAACCAATATATCCGCCATAAAAGTCAAATGGCAATCCTTCATAATCTTTTTCATCATAACGGATTAACAGGAGTTCCTAGAACAAAGATCAAGTAAAAACAGATTAATTCACCTGTATCACGTAAACATATAAATGTAGATAAAAACAAAATTATTTTCAAATTACAGAAGAGGCACGACACAGTAGGCAATATATTTTTTTTTTATCAAAATACCTTTTTCAAGAAATCAAGAAAACCTTCTTCAAGAAATGTTTCCACGGTAGAGCCTTGAGCATCTTCACTTGTTAGATAACCTCCAGCTTTTGAAGCCGTATCACTGAAAAATGGACATGAAAGCAGAGAGACGAAAGTTCATTTTGAAACTCATCAAAGTCAACATTATATACAACAAACCAAAAGCAAAAGACTACAAAGATGAGCAAAATCATAGTTTAAACCTTTCATCTGATAATTTAAATGTCATGTGCTTCCAAAGAGATCCACCTTTGCCTCCCATGAACGAAAAGCGCGCTCTTCCCTGAATATAAAAATAGCAAATTGAAATTTTCAACATTGGAAAAGAAAAACGAACATATGAGCTTCAGCAAAACCAAGGTAGGAACACTTCTAGAAATAAATCCCCATAAATGATAAATTTTGCATGAAAAGATCAAAATCCAAATCATTTGCACATATAATTCTACTGTTAGATAACTGTATATTCCATTATATTGCTTTATCAATCTTAGTTAGACCATCCAACTTTTCTACGATATTTTTGACCATCCCATCACATTTTCAACAATATGACAGAAAACCAATGCCAGCATAAATGACAGCTCTGAAAGTAAAAGCAAGCAAAATTTACTAAAAAAGTGACGAGATTAATCATAATACTAGTACTTAGATATGATTAGCTCAATTGGTGTTTAGTGGGTATGTGAGTTGCTTTTAATGTATTGAGTCCTAGGTTTACGTAGGTAGTACGATCGTTGGTTGGAGAGCAAAACTTTATAATGTACTGTAACATAAGAAAAAAAAATAATGAAAAAAAAATTCACTAAAATGTTTCATTAGCATGTAAAGTCAATAGTAATTGGTAAATTAAGAAACCTTCTCTGTTGAGGAACTGTCCAACCAAAAGGTGCTCTCAGCAGAATTACGTCCAAAAAATTCAAGGAAAATATTTCTTGCTCCGCCAACTTTACCAGCCAAGCAGTCAAATTTCCTCCACTTCAACTTTAGGTGTTTGACGCCAATGTTTGGATGGGAAAGATCTACCATCTTAAACATACCAAAACAACTATTCTTATCTACATTATGCACTGATTGGCCACTTCTAAAAGCTTCATTATATCGTCGACTATCCAGATTAATTGCTAGCTGCCTGCCTTCGGAAACTTCTCTTAGCAGTCCATTAGCATTTGGCATCTGCATGCATGCTAAAAAAGGTTTATTACTCAGAAAATATTACATGAATGTCCTTGTAAATCAAAAGCAAAGGCAGAAAAAATAAAAAGATGTAAAATAAATAGCTTAGAACATTGGTAACAATGTATACCTTTAAGGTACATTAAATAGCTTCTTGATCCAAATTAATTCTTAAATCACACCAAAGAAGAAAGATCAAGAGAAAACATCTTTTGAAAGAGTTTTAGTTTACCAGCATATGGGAAACCCCTTTGTTTGGTGAACTTTGGCTTCAATCTCCGCCAATAATTCTCCGTAATCTCTCTAAAATTCTTGAATATTTGCCTTCCATGACAAGTTGCAACACTTTCTGGATGAAACTGGAGTGTCAAATATAAAGTCAATAGTCTAGCACGGGAATAAGATTGCCATAATAAGAAGCAAAATTAGAATGCAGCACACCTGCACACCATAATGAGGCCTGGTGGAATGCATGATGCCCATGAGAACCTTTTTTCCTTTCACGCTGTTTGGATAAAAATCGGCGGAAGTGTCAGGGGTAACATCAAGCTCATGTGTCCCAAGAAAAGAAAGTGCATCAGTGGAAGATGTCCATGCTATAGGAATGAGATCATTTGGTAGTGACCCATCATCAATTATAAGAGAATGATATCGAACCACCTGAAATTAGTTGAAACAAACAGCAGTTAGGATCAATGAGGCTGATTTTGAGCCGCCACCCAAACATGAATACCCTTGTTTAACACAATATATTTGGTTTAGAAGGTTCCAAATTCAGGATCTTTCGTTCCATGGATTTCCTGAGAAACAAAGCCATCAGCACGAAAGATAGAATTAAAGTGTTTGTTACTTAAAGCCATCGGCACAACAGATAGAATTAAAGTGTTTGTTACTCTGTACATAAGTAAAACAGTCAAAATTATACTTTTTCTACCCACCAGAAAGATCGTTCAATTTTGCAGTTGCAACTTTTCTTCAAAAAGCAAATAATAAAAACAAAATTTTAGGTTGGGCTGAGTAAATAAACGGATAGATTACTGCTTGTGAACACATCTTCCCAGGGTAGATGCAGTTTGTTAAGTTCCAAAAACACATGATCTTCTCTATGAAAAAAGATTTTTATACATGGAAATAAATGCAATTTTACTTGTATCAGTAAAGATAGATCTTGCAATAATGTATATTTAATTAAGTGTAATTACTTTTCAACTTGCAATTGACTAGCAAATTATCTGCAAATCCAACAAAATTTCCTTTTAACCCAAAAGGAAAAGTAAAAAGCATTCAATCCAACAGAATTTCCTTTCAACCAACAATATAGTAAAAAGCATTCAATCACCTATACAGCAAAAGCTACCAATAAATCTTTCAATACAGTTGAAATTTCAAATATGCTCATTTAGGAGGCCTTAAGAATTTCTACCTTGCAGCGTTACCATTTACCAAAGCGCATGTCATGGACAACAAACTTGTAAGACCAAGGGAAGTTAAAGTCCAAGTTAAATTTTGAGAAGAGAAAAAATTTTAAACTCTTTGAAATGCTGACCTTAAATCCTGAGTTTGGGCCAGAGGGGATGTCATGAAACAGGCTGCATCCATTGTGTTCGATTTCACTGAATGGAGATGAAAAGTCAAGATGACAAAGCTTCAGTACAAAAACCTTAGTCACAAACACGTTGCAAAGGACAAAACAAAATAAGATCATAACAGTATTTAAAGGTACCTTAAGCGACCATGGATGGGTTCAGATGCGTGCACAACATTAGCGCCATGAACATAACCTAAGGCCTGTTCGTCCAGGAGAAAAGTAATCAAAACATGTTGCAAAACCACTCAGCATGTGTGTTCTTGACCATCATGTTGACTATACAATGTATACATGCATGCTTGATTAAATTATTATTTAGACACAAAATAACTGGTAGACAGCAAATTGTAGGCATGGAAAACGAGACTTACTTGATGTCCAAGACAAACCCCCAAAATGGGGATATCCCAGCACTTGTGTAGCAGTTGAAGACAGATTCCTGAAATATTTAAAAATACCTAAACATGTAATGATTATAATGATCATAGGAAGTTTTCTTGAAAACAAATGCAGACAGAAACAGAACAGAGCGTGTGGAAATTTTTTTACTTCTTTTCTTGTAAGAAACAAAATTTTATTGTTATGAATGAGAGAAAAAATAAATAAATAATATCTACAGGTATAAACTATGAGCCCGTTTGGTTCATGAATTAGAACCATGAGATTAGAATCATTTTTTATTTACGTGTGTTTTTTGTGAGAGAAAATACTGTAGCGATCCATGAACCATATTCGAATTAGGGAACGAATCCTCCAACCAAACGGGCTCTACATGTTTGAGAACAAACATGTACCAAATGAGACTCAAGAGTCAAGAGCACGATAACTTACGAAAAGCATGTGATACAACGATAAAGAGAGAAATGTGACAGATCCATCAAATAATATTGTGTGAGTGTTTATCTATTCAACCACACATATTAACGGATTGTCGTTTTATTCCTAGAATTCTAAGTTTTCTCTCCTTTGGTTCTATTCTTCAGTCTCAATTCTATTATTCCTGTCTTTTCCTACAGGGAGCGTACAAGCAGCGCACTTTCATCATTGCACTTCATGTAACCAATTTTTTACTACTAGTGCAGATATATTAAGGGTAAAATTAGCAGAAAATATACAGTTTTGCAAGATAAATTAACTATTCTAACCTATATCTGCCGGACATGTTGGAGAACCAGGTCCAGGTGATATAACGATGTTGTCAAACGCATTTTCTTCGTACAAGTAATGGTAGACGTCCTCCCAAGTCAACTCATCATTTCGCACCACCACAGGAGGTACTGACACAAAAACAAGCCAACAAGAGGTGTCAAAATTCATTTTCTTTCCCAACAATGCTCTGAAAAAAACAAAAACACCATTATAGAAGATCAAAGCAGATCACAATGTAAAAGAATCTCGCATGAGAGAGAGAGAGCTTACAGCCATTAATTACAGACAACTCCTGGTAAATATTGTACGTGTAGCTATCATAGTTATCAATCAGCAATGTTCTGACACATTCTGTCTTATGAACGTGATCATCAAACTGTTTTTTTGCCATGAACGATCCTTCTAACTGCTTAGGCATCAAATTGCTTGACATCACCGCCTTTCCAGCCTCCGGATTAGAAGACACTTGGGAAATATCTCTCTTGATGACATTTTCAATCCTCAGAGAAGGTTTGGACATCATTAGACTAAAATCCGTAGACCTCACAACTTCATTATAAGGATATCTAAGATCAGAAGACGGCGCGCACAAAGAGAAGTTCATCTTTCTCTGTGACGGGTATGCCAAATTAAGCACCAGACCACAAAAACTCACCCCCTATACAGCAAACAAAAGGGGCAAAAAAAAAAAACAACAATCATCTTTCTCAAATCTCCTCTACAGAGTCATAAGCGTAACAAAAGTTGTAAGAAAAGGAGAAACGACAAGAAATAAATTTTTTTTTTGTTTTATAAAAAAAAAAAGAAAGGTAAAGAAGGAAACCAAACCTGAGAGGCAGAGATTCGATGAGAGGGAAAGTAATTGTGGTAGAGGAACTAGAGGCGGTTGAAAGGGGAGAGAGAGAGAGTTTGGGCCTTTTTGGGCTTTCGGTAGGTGAGTGGGTGTTGGCGTAAAAAAGGATCGAGGTGGGACCCACGTGAGCTTATAGCCTTAAACGGACAGTGGCAGATTCATTGAACCGTTAGATCCGATGGTATTTGTAGGTAGGTGTTCGTTCATTGTCATTTGGTACGAGAATTTTTATAATTTAAATTATAATTTATAATTTATTATAGTATATTTTTTAATAAAATATATATAAATTAAGAATAATTTTAAATCATAATTTTAAATTTATGAACTAAAATAATTCTCAATTATAATTTTGAATTCATGAATTAAACATCTACTTCTCCTTTCCTCCTTTGTCGTCCACTCTCCCAATCATGAACCAACCGCCGAGCGCTGATGGAGGCAGAGGCGGAGCAAAAACAATTAGTCATGGGTGCGAGGGCAAGGGTCGGGGCATAACTGAACTACGGGGTGAAAACAAGTAAAAGAGAGGTAAAATTTTTGAGGTATAAAATAAATTGTGTTAAATGTAAATATAAAATTTTAAAAAATAAAAGTTCAAATGAGAGAGAGACAATTAACTTTTTTAGGTCCCGTTCATTTCGTTTATTCGAGTTTTGCTACAGTAAAAAGCTCTCAGAAATAGTCACATTTAACTTTTTTACTACAGTAAAAAACTCTCACACGACATCACATCTCAACTCGAATTAAAAACTCAAATTAGCAAACCGAACGGGCCCTTAATAGTTAACTAGTTTTGTAAGTTTTGTAATGTGTATGGCATGTATTATTGTGTTAGAGACAACTGAAAGGTTTATTGCTTACCGAATAATGAGAAATTAATTTATACAACTATTTAAAGATTTTTTTAATTTATTTTAAAAAAGAATATGTATAAAGATAACAATTGACAAAAAAATAAGTAAGGATATATTTGAAGAAAATTATTTTAATCAACTAAAAATAAAATAGGATCGCGTGTGAAAAATTACTCTCATAAAAATCAAGTGAGTAATAATATATTTTTAAAAAGCACACAAAAAATTAAAATATACAAAAATTCCCAAAAAAATAAAGATAAAAAAAAGTAGTGGAGAGCTTGCCTCTTTTATGTATTGTTAGATTAATAAATTATTATGTATAGATTATAAATTAGATTAAAAATTTTAATAAGTGACACAAAATTATTCATACTCCAAATCAAACCATTGAAAAGCTAATTTAATAACTAAACATTAGTTCTTACCAGAAAATAATTATAATGTAGAGGTGATATTAATAAAAATAAAAAAGATGGAGTAAGTACACATTTGAAAGTAATTATTTTAATAGGAGCAAAGTGAGAAAAAAAATTCTAAAAAAACACACTACAGTAAATAAATTGTAAAAGAGTTTTCAAAAAAATAAGCAAAAAGAAAGAATTAGAAAAAAGAAAATACAAAAAAGTAAGAATTAACAAGTAACAAATGGAGAAAGATGGATGGAAAAAAGTTCAGTTCTTTTATGTATGTTATAGAGATAGATATAGATTTAAAAAAATAGACGAAGGATGAGGTGTTGATAAGTGACAAGCTCACGAGATAGTCCAATAATAAGAGCCTTAAGCTCTTTTATGTATTCTTAAACGAGACAAATATTATTTTAAATGGTACTCCTTTAATGTTTGACCTATAAACATTGATCAATTGATTTTTAGTCATTTTAATCAAAACGGTGTTAACTCAGAATAAAACGTTAAAATTTAGACTCACGCATAAAAATATATTGAACAACTTTCTCTATTTTTTTTAATTAGCATAAGATATGGCTGAAATAATTTCCCAAAGTTAGCCTCAAAGGCATTCATTGCTCCCAGGCTTAACTAAACAAATTTTTCAAAACCCCTAATGTGTGGAGTATGTCATGAGGGTTCTAGAACCGGAACCATGATTCTAGTTCAAACATTTGTTTATTTGTAAAAAGTAAAAAATAGTTCTTGAAAACCAGTGTTTGGTTTGGATAGTTCTGGTTCAATGTTTGACTTCTTATGTGATGTTTTAAACCAGAATCACCTTAAAAAAATAAAACCACCTCCCTCTTAATTTTAGATGGTTCAAACATCTAGTTCTGATTCTGGTTCCATAACTATAGTTTAGATGCAAAGTTCAAACCATAAATCATAGATCTAGTTTTAAAACTAAAACTACTCTAATTTAAACTCTCATACCAAACGCAATCTAAACATTCCAAAAGTCCATTAGCAACTATACCAGTATATTGATCTTAATCCAATTCTGTAAAGGAAGAATCTAAGACCTCAAGAATTTTAGGAGCCAGTACTTTAGATCCATCATTGATAAAAGGCCGCTCGAGAATTAATAAATCATGCACAGAGTTGGCCAAAGTCCCATAGTGATCAAGAACTTTCTGAAAGAATATTATTACATTTTTTATGAAAGAAATAATATTTCTAGATGGTACTTCTGAAATAAATATTCTAAATTATTGTATTGTTGTGCTCCCCAGCTCATAGATGGCTTAATAGTTAATACTAGTAGATATTTTGACCCAACACATATTATTGTCTGTATATACTCTTTTAATTAGGAAATTCTATATAACATAAAAGAAAACTTTGGTCTTTCTGAAAAGGTTTATGGTGGGCGGCTCTCGTGGAAAATCTAGATTTCCACTGGAATATGACATCGCTAGAAAGTTTGACCTGGAATTTTTGTGTGGATGTCGAGACAAATTGATAAGTTAAGGTCTCGTTCATTTTACGGATTTAAATTTTTAATTTGAGTTGAGATGTGATATTTTCTGAAAGCTTTTCACTGTAGCAGAAAAAGTTAGATGTGATATTTTTTGAGAACTTTTTACTGTAGAAACTTAAAACTAAAAACTCAAATCGGTAAAATGAACGATGCTGTAAAATTAATTACAACAGAATTTGTTATTTAGCTAAGCTGAACTGGAATTCTGTTTCTGATGTAACAAATCTCTTTGTAATACTAAATATACAGGAAATACACTCAGTCGATTGATTGAGTTTTTATTCATTTTTCTCTCATTTTTTTCTCTCAGTAAATCCTTTTTGTGGACAACATTAATTCCAGTTTATGATAATTAACATATGTATATTTATCGGTGCATATAAATGGGCAACATATTTGATTACAATATTGGCCAAAAGACAGTTTCTATACCTATATATAGCTAGCTCAGCTAAGTTATAGAAGCTAATTAATAAAGAACAGACTGATGAACAATGTCGTTTTAATTTCAAGCTTTGTCTTATTCATGCAATAATATTTAACCACAGATAACTGATCAATCCACAGAATTGAAAAGTATATTTAATTTTCTACCATATTAGTCCGTTGAACACGTGAGATAGAGTTACTTGAATACTTTCCATAACGACTAATTTGTAAAATATATATGCTTTTCTACTTCTGAAATCATATATACACACATATTATATATAAACACACACGGATGTAGTTGTAATAGTTATTCTGATATTTATTTATTAGTAAATAATATTATTATTTTAACTGTGGCATATTACGGTAGTAAAAAGTTAAGTAGTTGATAAAAAAACATATGATAATAAATGAGATTAGATTCTTATCACGTTATATCATTATGTTTCTATATTTAATAGGTAACTACTGATAAAAACATAATTATTATAAATTTGTACATGTGTATATGTGTGTGTATATATAGAGAGAACGAGGGTGAGGGAGGTGGGGAACATCTAGGCATACATAGGATGTGCTTGGAACTTATTTTAAAATAATTTTATTTTTTGTATGAAAATGTAAATGAAAACGTTATCAATCTCAAACAGTAATCATTTTTGAAAATGTGTTTGATATTTTTATCAAGAGATTATTTTCATTATAAAAAAATCCATTAATGTCTCTCTTTGCTCGAGAGAGGAGAAAACATAAACAAAAAATAAAAAGTGACTAAAAGTCATTTTTTATTTATCTTTCATTTTACACTAAATTAAAAAATCATTTTTATTTATGTTTTTTGTCTTTAATTGTGTCAAACACTGTTTTTCTCATATTTTCATTTTTATCTCGAAAAACGTGAAAAAAACAACTCAAAAACAGTCATAGAGTTGCAAAATTGACCCAGTCTTTAGTTGAGTTCAAAATCAAAGTTGTGGGAGTCATTGGGACCTAACCATATTCCTCGTCTCTACAGGATGAGCCAAGTTTACTGTTGCATTTCTATTGAATTGGTAATGGTTGACCTTCAATCAAGTAATATTCAATTAACCAAACTTTGCTGGTCAATTTTGCGCCTTTGCAGGATTATCTATAATCTATAATAATAATAAACAATAAATAAAAGGTACATCTGTAGTGTCGGCTACATAACTATCCGAGCTCACAACCTTGAGGTGAAATTTATTTATTCATTTTTTAAATACAAAGACATTACAATAAAACAAAACAGCTTAATTATTGGTTCAAGTAAAACATGTGGAAGATTTTTCAAGCAAAAAAAAAAAAAAAAACACATGGAAGATTTATCTGTGAAATTTCTTGAGTTGTGTATATCTAACTCTACAAATAAGATAAAATTGAGCTCGACAAATAATAATTAATCTCTGGCTCTTAAAGTGGGCTTTGATTTGGGGTGGGATACATATGATTGTATCCAGTCAGATTTATGTCTCGTTCACTTTACGGATTCGAGTTGAGATGTGATATTTTTTTAGAGTTTTTTACTGTAACAAAAAAAGTTAAATGTAACATTTTTTGAGAGCTTTTTACTGTAGAAACTTAAAACTGAAACTCAAATCGGTGAAATGAACGAGGTCAACTGATTAATACTGAATCTTATAATTGCTAGGGAACAATAATTTATACATATATATATATATATATTATATATAGATACGTCTCCGGGCCGCCAACTTTCACATCAATATTTAGATAAAATTTGGTAAATAACTTGAATATATTGTACATATATACATGAATACCAAGTTGATTATCAAATTTTACCGATCAAATTATGTGATTCGACAATAAATCAACTCTTGATAAATTAGTATCCGCGTGGCTCGTATGATCACTCTATCTAGCTAAATTCTTGACTGCCAAGTTTGGAACTTGATCGTTGCTTAACTTTTAGCCGTGCTTGAGTTTAGAAACTCCTTTTTTCAATGTAATTAGTTTTTCTGGATTACTATAGTGTCACATATTTATTAGAATATCATATTGGCTGAAGATATTAGCATGATCCACTTAATAAGGTGAGGGCAATCATTTCCTAACAAAGCCGGTTTTGTCAGGTTGAGTTAGGCCCAATATCATTTGATTTATGTAAAATGGTATCAGAGCGGGAGGTCTTGAGTTCAAACCCCCATAATTGCACTTTTTATCCCCATTTAAAAATTGTCATCATGTGTGTTGGGTCTTTAATATACATCGGGCTTAAATATTCACGTGTTGGGCTTTCCAATTATTTTACCCACACGAATACTCATTGTCCAGCCCACATGTGAAGGGGAGTGTTAAAGTGTAAAATTATTGTTGGGTCATTTTACAGAAATCAAAGGATATTGGGCCTAACTCAACCTGACAAACCGGCTTGTTAGGGGAGGATTGCCCTCACCTTATTAAGTGGATCATGCCAATATCTCCAGCCAATATGAGATTCTAATACGCCCCCTCACGCATAGCGTGGACCATGCCAAACCGCTGCGAATAAGTCGATATTGGGGGACCCAACATTACAAAACTAGGCATGCTCTGATACCATGTTAGTTTACCAATCCACCTTAAAAACTTAAGTTGTTACGAGGTGGGCCAACAATAGTTTTATACTTTAACAATATTCGTTTGCTTCTCTTCGTTTTATTCCGCTAGTCTTCGTTTTATTCCGCTAGGATTGCCAAGCATACATTGGTTCCCTAGTTTGGATCAGTTTGGTTGCAGACCATACTTAGGGCACGTTTAGTTTGCTGATTCAAGTTTTTAATTCGAGTTGAGACGTGACTTTATGTGAGAGCTTTTTACTGTAGCAAAAAAGTTAGATGTGACTGTTTCTGAGAGATTTTTACTGTAGCAAAACTCGAATCGGTGAAGTGAACGGAATATAATACGTTTTTTTCCCCGAAAAAAAAAAAAAAAAACACACATACACACAATTACATGCAACGTATAGTACATTATAATATATGTGCTTAACATGATAGGAGAAAGAGGAAAAAAAACACACACACTATATATACGTCATAAATAAGACAATATTAGGTGCAGTTAGCTATCTAAATTAAATGTCATTATTGGCACTTTGTAAAATTACCAGCCGCCTCCCTCTATATTAGACTATAAATTGATAGAAATAGAATTGATCAGTGTGAAACAAATAAAAACACAATTCAAAGATCACTACGTAAGATAAAACCCCACCAAGGGCATTTCCGTAATCTGGCAATTTTCGCAATTTTATCAAAATGTTTTTCATGTGTTCTTTAATTTAATTTATGACTTTCATTTCGTCCGTTGCCAACTAGTCAATACGAAGAAACCTTCAATGGCTCTAATGATTACTATTAGTATATATAAATAAATATATATATATAATTAATGACGTTATTTTAAATAATATATATCTCCATCAGCTAAAAACTACCTCAGCTGATTTCGATTTGGGATATATATATATATATATATATATATATATATCATTTCATAATTTTCCTTCTGACCACTCAGAACTGCAAGCAAACTTCTGATCGTTATATATAATATAGGTATATACGTACGTTTTACTCCCGAAGAGAAGATCACGAGAAGATCACGTACGTCCGTTTCATAGAAATGAAGTTTTCTTTTCTTTGCTCATCAAAGTGCTTCTTCTCTTCATCAGCAATCAACGATGAAGAAGCCTTCCGAGGTAAATATTATATATATATATATATATACTGATACACAAATATATCTTTATATTCATAATTACCTGCAGAAGCCTTTGATTGATTTCAGCTATTTTTGATTGATTTTTTCTGGTCATCCTTAAATTCATTTGTTTTTGTTTTCGATTTTCCTCCTTTTCCGCTTCATATTTATGCTTTCTTTCTATATATGAAGATAATACTTATATCTCTATATATATGTATGTATGTATGTATAAGAAATAGATCTTCGATCCTCTGTAATAAGAGAGAGATGATGATCATGTCATGGTTAATATTTATTTCTTGTATAAATTTAATAATAATTCCGAATAATCAGTTCATAAATCATCAGGAAATCTCATAAAAGGAATATCACAATCCATTTTCTATAGCTGATATTTCTAGTGTTAGTTTTTCTTTTCAACTACCTTTCATATCATTAAATTTAGTGAGTTGGATATAGCAGCCTTTCCATTTATGTGCAGTATATTCTTTTATCAATATAATTGATAATTACATAGTTGCCTGGTATAAGACAAATAATTTGGATCGTTGGAATAAAGTAAATATGCAAGTTGTACAAATATCTCGCATGTATTAATTGTTTTTCCATGGAATATGTTCTATATATATATATATATATATACAAATAGTTATGTACAACATATATAGATATATGACATATATAGTTGACATGAGACACAAATAATGCCGTGCACGAATTGACATTGACATTATTTTTTGCCCTACATGATAATGATTGACATTAAGTGGTTGAGCTAACTAATTCTCTCCTTGAGTGATCAACTAGGTGTACAAATTCTTCAAAATGTGAATGCATTTTCATACAATGAGCTCAAATCAGCCACTAATGGCTTCCGTTCATCCAATAAGATCGGTGAAGGCGGATTTGGATCCGTTTACAAAGTAAATTAACATATATATTTTTACATGTACTTATTTTTCTAAATTAAATTCAAGCCCTCAATATATTTGTGATCTCAAACTAAACAAAACTTTTGACACATATATGATAATCTATTAAATAGGGAAGACTTCAAGATGGTAGAATAGTAGCTGTTAAAGTTCTTTCGGCTGATTCAAAACAAGGAGACAAGGAGTTCATGACTGAAATTGCATCGTTGTCCAATATTAGCCATGAAAATCTTGTTAAGCTCCACGGCGGTTGCGTTGACGGTCCATTTCGAATTCTTGTCTATGAATACATGAAAAATAACAACCTCTCTCGTCTTATGCTAGGTATGTAACAAAATTTCTTTTTATTCGAGTTTATAGTGAAATCTCAAAAACACATTTAACACAACCCAGCTTATATATGTACTTAAAATACCATAACCAATGGATGTGGCACGTAGTTACATTGTTGAATATATATTTGTGTCTTTAATTTTAATATGCTATATATATACATACTAATACACATGGTTACAATATTATATATGTGGCGAGAAAACTAAAGGCCTACTTGGTTGGGAAGCAAGGAGGAAAATTTGTTTAGGAATTGCTCGTGGTCTTGTCTATATTCACGAGGAGGTCCAACCACACATTGTGCATCGAGATATTAAAGCTAGCAATATAGTTTTGGATGAGAATTTTAATCCCAAAATTTCAGATTTTGGCCTCTCTAAGTTGTTTCCCGACAATATCTCTCACATCACTACTAAAGTTGCCGGGACACTGTAAGTCATGATCCTGATTTCACGCTTAATTCAAGCTCGTTATCTTGCTAAATTCTATGCCTCTTTTTTTTTTTTTTCCCTGTTTGGTTGTTATATATATATATATATATATATTTGTTCATTTTCTTTCTATATTATTCCTCTTATTTAGTTATTTGATTTAATATTTTTTTTTCCTGTTTTCCCTTTTGGTGCTGAAGAGGCTATCTTTCTCCTGAGTATGCCATTAGCGGGCGCCTAACCCGAAAATCAGATGTGTATAGTTTCGGAGTTCTGCTTTTGGAAATAGTGAGTGGAAGATCAGCTGTTGATTTCGACCTACAACTAGGAGAACACTACCTTGTTGAGAAGGTATATGATATGACTATTAATCACAAAGTTATGTACATTAATACGTACACACATATAGAATAAACGAACATGAGGTTCGATCACGTGTTTAATTTTAATATCTAAAATGGTATCTTACCAATTATATCATACCACATTATTAAAAAAATTAAAAATGTTATTTACGTCCATGTTTTCCTTCCCTTTCTATTTGTTAATTATGATCTGAATCTATCCACATCTAATTTTTTCTTCTTTTTTTTTTTTTTCTTGCCTTCTCTAATTAGTGATGTTACAATGGAAGGCAGTCCTTTTCCTCTCCATTCCTTAAGTAACAAAAGTGGGAATCGAATTAAATAAGTTAAAACTTTCGTTCTCTTCAATTTATTAAATAATTAGTATATATGCAAATGGCAAAGGTCGATGTATTTGACTTTTAAAGGTCCCACCATATATATTGATATATATTAATTGTACATGCTGATTTATTTAACTCTATATTTAACTAAAAATTTTGATTTTGTTAAGGGGTCTTAGACCTAATTTGATGCTAGTTAAACTCTCTCATCGAAAGAAAAAGTTCATGCAAATTAATAAAAGACTCAATCGTTTCAAGTCTGAAAACAGTTGCCACTTATTATTGCAGAAAAAATTTATTTCACTATAATATACAAAAACAACAAAAATGTACACGAAAAATAGTAGTAACATGCTTGACGTGTGGTTTTCAATTTTATGCAGGCATGGGAAATGTACAAAAGTGACAAGCTTATAGATCTAGTAGACAGTAACATTACTAATACCATTTATAGCGCAAACTTCTCGTCAGATCTAGATGGCGAAGAAGAAAAAGATCACCAAGATCAAGAAGAAGACCAAGAAGAAGAAGAAGAAGAAGAAGCAGTTCATTTCCTAAAAGTTGGTCTTCTCTGCGTGCAAGAGAATTCTAGGCTCCGGCCCACTATGTCAATGGCCATAAGAATGATGAAAAACGACATCAAAATTGATGATGTGCAAATCACTGGACCAGGGCTTATAAACAATATAATGGACGTTAAAATTGGCAAAAGACCAACTTCCATGCAAGTAGGCACTTCATGCATGCAAAGCCCACAATCTAATAATTACCATTTCCGATGATCCACTACATCATAAATCGTAACTTCTTTGTGGTGAACTAGTTGTCAAAATCTTTCCTTTCTTTCTTTCTTTTTTTTCCCCCCCTTTTAATTTACTAGAAAAGAAAACAGTTATGCTTCTAATTATTACTTAGATACAGATTATCAATTAACGGTTCTTTGATTTTTTGTGTGGGGGCATTTCTAATCATATCAATTTACAAGAGAAACTTTATGATATACAAGTTCTCAAATCTTTTGTACTAATTTGTTCATTAAAAAATAAATAAAAGAACACACAACTTTTCAGTTAGAATCTTACAAAAATTATAAGAAAATTTTCATTATGGTACTCTCTGTTATATCAAAATTTGAGTTTGATATTCTCTGTTTTTGAAAATTTCATGCTGGTACTTCAACCTTTTAGAAAATATTTTTTTAGCACCTCAGAGTTATCTTTTAGGACACAAAAAGATAAAATTACCGTTATTATAAAAAATCATCTGTTGATCAGAATTTTTTTGGACGTCGTGTGTATAAGTTTTTGCTTTTATATTTTCTTTAGTTTAGGGTTAATGTAAAAAAGAGGTTCATTTTTTTTTTTTTTTTCATTTTTTCAGTTAGTGTAAAATAGACGTTGATGCTCTGTTTTGAATTTTTTGTTTTCCTTTTTTGTCTTTTGTTTTTTTGTTTTTTTTTCCTTTTTTTCATCGTTTTTGTTTTGTTTTTTTGTTTTTTTTGTTTGTTTTGTTTGTTCTTTTTTTTTTTTTTTTTTTTTTTTTTTTTTTTTTTGGTTTTAGGGCTTGTGTTAATAACATGATGTTGTTGTGTTTTAAGAACCTCATTTAAAATCATTTTTTTAAATTATGTTCAACAGATGAGTTTTTACAATAAACGTAATTTTGTCTTTTTTATATTCTAAAAAATGGCTCTGAGATACTAAAAAAATATTTTTTAAAAGATTGAAGTACTGAGATGAAATTTTCAAAAACAGATAGTATTAAACTCAAATTTCAATATAACAGAGGGTGCTAAAATAAAATTTTCCCAACATAGCTCGACGGCCAAAGAAAATCATATATTTATAATATACTGGAAAACTCAGTTAAGCATTGACCCTAATATTTTAGTCTACAAACATCAAATCTCCAATATCATAGTCTACAAACATAATTAATTCGCATTTTACGTAAATATGGCCTAGAGTTTCCTCTAGTTTCGATAAACTTAAATCTTTTTTGGTAGACCGATTTATTGGTAGGATTAAATTCTGACTGTTAGATTTGATTAAAATCATATTAAATTAAAAATATATGCATAATAGACAGTATTTAATATAACTCTATTATTAAAAAGTAGAGAACTCTAGATAGCTCATTTTTTTCTATTATATCAGAAATTTCCTTAAAAAGAGGAAAAAGAAAAGAGAAAAAGGAGAGAGAAAGATAAAAATGCTAGCTAGTGCTAAGAAAAGCATATGAAAGTGTATGATCAGAAATTAAAATACATACATAGAATCTACTTTTTGAGACTTTTGAGATTGTTTTTTTTTTTTTCGCAAGGGAATTGAGAGTACAATCTCTGTTAAAGTGCATAACAACGTGGATGTGGGTGGCCCCCTGGTTGGGTAGCCTGCAGCCGCAGGTGACCATTTTTCTTTTTCTTTTTTCCCCATAAAAAAGAATACTTAAGTTCAGACCTGAACAATCGAGAAGATTAATGTTCTTTAAACTAAAAGCAACTAAGCAGACTGAACCATTAAATTATTAATCAAAAGAAAAAAAAAAAGTTTTATATTATTATTAAATTATAAACAACCATTAAAATCATTATTCTAAAGAAATCAGATTCATTGCATTGACGTGAAAAAAAGTTTGCTGAGCACCAGCAAACTTTTTTTTGTTGAGATAATTGAACGAAAACATTACACATGTGGAATTATATAGAGTATCATGTATTGAGATATTCTATACTAGGGTGTCCTCATTTTAAAGCTTCATAAGGGATATTGATCTTGACCGAGAGATTTAAATCAGTTGGTCTACATTAATGACCACACGGTATATAGTCAGTTGGGGCACGTGTCCCTTTCAAATTTTAAAATTTTAATTCTAACCTATAGTCGTGCCTCCATTTTGCAAAGGAAAAAAAAAATTATAATTGTGTCTCTTTAGTAATTGAATAATAAAACTATGTCCCCATAAATAAGAAAATTAAAAATATATTAAAATTTTTTTTTTATACCTATACTTTCAGGGTAACAAATAATCATCCTCTAGATTTCAACTTTATGTTGAATCATAACATTTTCTTAAAGAATTTCTAAATATCCTAAAAAAAAAAAAAAAAACAAACACGCATTGCCTGTTGCCCCCACGTTACAACTTCTTGATCAAGCTCCCTTGTACTCAATGCAAGTATTACAGATAAGAACTTTTATTATTGCATATATTCTACCAAGTAGGAAACCTAAATAGGCCTGAACTGAATTTACCTTCAACCAAAAGGGTACCTCGTCGATGTATGAGGCTCTGCAAAATGCGATATTCAAGGATGGCATCTCAAAAATTATTAATGGCGTCGAGTTTTATTGCATGTGTTTGTTGGTTTATATAGTGCTGCCTCTCACTCCAAGTTCCCTACCCTATCTTCTCTGTCTTTCTTCACCTCCCCCCCTGCCTGTGTCCCGAACATTGGAGTCCCATCGACCCCGGCCCAAACTTTTTATTTTGACAATCAACTCTCTGAACTTGCTTAACTGTTATAATAAACCTCATTTGAATAACGACCGTCGCAAAATGGATGAAAATAGACATATATCAGGCACATCTGGGGTTCTAAAAGGGCTACAACGTAGTCCAATTCTTCTGAATTGTTTTCTGAATCACCCGTCGCATAATTTCATAATTCATTCATTGATGCAGCCTACTGTCAAATCACAAACACAAACATAGTTATTTTCTGAAACAAGTCATAAAAATAATATCATCTACTAATATACAGTCTACTGTAATAAATACACACACGCACACACACACAAAGTATGGCAAACTACTATTCTAACACTCAAATTGCCGGGAAAGAAAAAATAGAAACAAAACTAGAATGCTTCGGTGTGGCCAAATAAAGCGTCGTTGGCGTTGAATATTCTTCTGTCGCAGCTCTGGATCCTCTTCCTGTAGCTATCTTCTTAAGGATCTCCGGCAAGTTATCCTCCGTTCAAGGGAGATATTCTTTTCACCACCGTGTGTAGCAATCATATATCCCATGCAAACTATGGCAAAGCTGAGTCTAACATTTCAATTGAGTTGAGGGTAGAAAGGGAATGGTAATAATTTCAATTAAAAAAAGGGTCATTTAACCAAAATATTAAAAAAAAAATAAATGTTGATCGTCCTTTTATATAATTGGGTAAAAGAGGACGCTTACCCTAATTTCTCTTTTTATTAACCATACAAACGTGCCATATAAGACCTTGTTTACTCCATCCAATTTTTCTTCAAATAAAAATAAGTAGAGTTATGCGCGATTTGCCCGAAAATCGCCGGACCGAATTTATTCGGCGGTCTGGTTACATGTCATTGTTTGTCAATTGTCTAAAACCGGACCAAACTGTTTCATACATTTATATTAAAAAATAAAATATTAACTTTATTAGTTATTTTTACGCTTTTTTTTAATCTTTTTAGAATGCTAATTTTATTTAACGGATTGCGATTTTGTTCATTTGTTGTACTTAACTTTTACTAGATTTTAATTAATATGAAATATAGTAACTAAAAACTAAAACAAAAAAAAAACTAAAAAATAGTCCAAACTGCGTTTAAATTCCATACCATACTGTTTTAAAACAGTTTGTTTCGGTCTGATTCCATTGCAAAAATCGTCCGGTCTAGAATTTTTTTCAAGCCGTCAAAATGGTTCAATATGAAAAAATCTAACGGCTTAGAGCAACTCAACCATGCTAGCCATTTCATGTTTTTAATCAAAATAGCTAATGATTTATCCATTTTTTTGTTTTTTTTTTTTTACTTTTCTCCACTCCAACCATTAATTAAATGTTTAGCTATTTTAGAGAATGTCTTTCACGCTAACTAAATATAGTTAGCATAAAGAGGCTAGCCATTTCATTTTTTGTATTATTTTATTTTTTGATGTAAAAATTATTTTGTAAATTCAATAAAATATTTATATTTTAAATTTAATAATATTAAAATAATATATATTTAGCTAAAATAGAGAGTATGGTTAGTGTGACTCACTAAAAAAATTACTAATTAAAACAATTTTTTAACTATTTTAAATAAAATTTAACTAAAATTTAAAAAGTTCCCCTTGAGCTCTTAGAACCAAAACGTATAAAACAACCTTAAAAATAGGTAATGCGAAAAGATATGAGGAGCGATTTGATGTAACTAAATTTTTCTGAAACCTTATCGTGATCATGATATTACATAAGTACTTCTTATTGCTGAAAATATTTTTTTAAAAATAAAGCATATCTTAATCTTGATTATCAAAAAGTTCGTGATAAAACTCATATATAACAATTAAAGTTCAAGGAGATCTGAAGGGTGGTCCACACTCTCTTCCCTGGCCCCATTGTCCTTTTTGACCTGCTTTGACCGTAAACTATATTCTCTGCCAGCCAATCGAAAGGAGAGAGATTCAGATCAGGTCAGAGAGAGAGAGAGAGAGTGGTCCAGTCGTTTTTGTAATATGAGATTCCCTAGTAGCTATAATGATAATCTGCTGCTGCGAAAACACTTTTACTTTTCCCAGAATCCATACTTTTCTTTCCTTTCTCTCTTCATGATCGAGCCCTCGCCAGAGATAGTTTTGCGTACGTACGTGCAACATTTTTTGGCATAGAGAGATATATAAGAGTAGAGAGAGAGAGAGAGAGAGAGAGAGAGAGAGAGAGAGAAATGGGAATATTTGTGATATTTTGGTGATATAAGAGTTTGAGTAGTATACTATACATATACCCAGAATAAGCCTGAAGAATCTTAACGAGTGTTGATCACAAATATAGCTGAGGCAGATCATGAGCTCAGCCCAAATATCATTACTCACAACAGAAGCTATGTCAAGACGAGGAATATGATCAAACTGTGATCTAAAAAGATATATACATATATATATATATTTGTAGCTTATATATTCCTATGACAAA